AGGGTTTAGTTTTAAGTGTTTAGGGGGTTTTAGGTGTCAAAACATTTTTTAGGGTTTAGAATTTTAAGATATATGCTTTATAAATCTATAATTAGTGGCATTTTTGTAAATAGATACCCCTAAGTGGCATTCTTGCAAATGTGCACACAAAAAGTGGTATTTTTGTAATTGCCCCAAAAAAAAAAATCCTCTTTAACGGAAATATTTGAACGCCAGAAAATATATTGTCAATTATAACTGAATTATTTTTATCATATATTTATTCGATTGTATTTTTGTTGTAATTAAGATTGAATCTAATTAATGGTATGAATTTTTTTTACTATTTTTTTATATTAATGGTATGAATTTTGTTCGATGTAACGATATGCTAAATCACAAATTTCGATAACTTTGTTCAATACAATCCAATAATTTTATTCGATATAATGGTCTACTAAGCTTAAACTTCTTAAAAGTCTTGTTCAACATAATATTACAATTTATTAGATATAATAGGCTATTAAACTACAAAATCCTAAACCCTTGTTCGACATATTACGACAATATTGTTCGGCATAATATGACAATTTATTAAATATAACGATCTATTAAACTAAAAAATTCTAAAATCTTGTTCGACATAACACGACAATTTTGTTCGACATAATACGATAAAATTATTAGATATAATGGCCTATTAAACGACAAATTGATAAAATCTTGTTCGACATAATACAAAATTTTTATTAGATATAACGGTCTATTAAACGACAAAATCCTAAAATTTTATGCGGCATAATACGACAATTTTATTAGATATGACTATCTATTAAACGACATAATCCTAAAAATTTTGTTAGACATAATACGACAATTTTATTAGATATACCGGTCTATTAAACGACAAAATTCTAAATTTTTGTTCGACATAATACGACAATTTTATTAGATATAACGGTCTATTAAACGACAAAATCTCAAAATCTTGTTCAACATAATACGTCATTTTTGTTCGACATAATCCGATAATTTTATTAAATACTAATGAACTAAATATTCCGGTAATTTTGTTTGATCGAATTTTTTTTGTTTGTCGTTGTTCGGTAAAATAGCTTTAATATTCAACTTTTTACCTAATAAGGATCTGTTATTTTCACATATATTTGAAAATGTTTATTTAAAAAAGAATGTTTAAGTTGAGATATCTGAAAATGTTGATATAACATTTACATAGATTTAATACTGATCAATTAAACACATATTTATAATAGCCTCAGCCATTTTGTATCCCATTCTTAATAGTCAGTAACTTCACTTTAAATTAGTAAAATAAATTATACTATATCAATCGTGCTCTATATTGTCGTTGAACGTATTGTGATTTGTGCAGTCTATATATAGTTGAAGATAAAAACTTCGAGGTAAAATAATAAGATTCTCTGCAAGAAAAGCAGGACACACGTGGCTAAACATAAGTGGATACAACAAAAAAGAAAAACCAAAAAACCGGTTTTTATGTAATAAAAAAAAAAACCAATCTAAAATGGCTTTGACTGTTCACAAGAAAAGCTTCCTAAAAGGAGCGTTATTTTTTTCTTTTTTAACTTCTCTATAAAAAGACAGCTTCTTTGCTCATTACCACTAACCTCGTTCACCGATCT